TTTTATTGATCTTCCACCCAATGTCAAGCCTATTAGAAGCAGATGGGTATACAAAATCAAATACAATGTTGATGGCACTACTGAAAGGTATAAGGCTAGGCTGGTTGAAAAAGGATACAATCAAGTAAAATGCCTAGATTCTTTTTGATACTTTTTCACTTATAGCAAAATTATCTACTGTCAGAGTCTTTCTTGATGTAGCAGCCATTAAGAATTGGCATTTTCACTAGGTTGATGTCAACAATGCATTCTTGCATGGTGACTTAGAGGAGGATGTCTACATGATTGTTCCTTAAGGCATCACATGTAACAAGCCTAATAAGGTTTGCAAACTTGTCAAAAGCCTCTATGGACTAAAACAGGCTAGTAGAAAGTGGTATGAAAATATCACATCATTATTGCTCAGTCTTGGTTAGACTCAGTCCAACTCGGATTATTCCATGTTTACCCTAGCAAGGAATGGTCACATTACTATTCTTCTGGTTTATGTTGATGATATAATCCTGGAAGGTACATCACTAGCTGAGTTTGATCACATTAAACACATTCTGCATAATGCCTTCAAAATCAAGGACCTAGGAACCCTGAAGTACTTCATTGACCTTGAGGTGGCACATTCAAAAGAAGGCATTACCATTTCACAAAGAAAATATTGCCTAGATTTGTTGAATGATACAAGGTTGTTAGCTTCAAAGCTAGTTGATACACATCTCAATCCTTCAGTAAAATTGCATCAAAACAACAACAAACCTTTTGAGGATGTCACTACTTACAGAAGATTGATTGACAGGTTATTGTACCTAAACAATACTAGGCCTGACATTACTCTTGCCACACAACAATTAAGTCAATTTCTGCATTGTCCAAGCCAGGTCCACTATCATGCAACATGCAGAGTGATTAGGTATTTGAAAGGAAATCTAGGCAAGGTCCCATCTTTCTTAGAAATTCATCATCGCAGATACTAGGATACACTGATGTAGATCGAACAGGATGTATTGATTCCAGAAGGTCTGCATCAGACTATTGTATTTTCATTGGAGTATCCCTTGTTTCGTGGAAAGTATAAAAAACCAACAGACTATTGCCCGATCATCATTGGAGGCAGAGTATAGAGCTCTTGGTTCAGCCACATGTGAATTGATTTGGCTGCTCTACAATTTGAAGGATATCCACATTACATGCTCCAAGATTCCAGCCTTGTATTGTGACAATTAAAGTGTTACCCACATAGCTTCCAATCCTGTATTTCATGAGATGACAAAACACCTTGAAATTGATTGCCATCTTGTAAGGGAAAAGATTAAGCAAGGCGCCTTAAAGCTGCTTCCAATAGCTTCTCAAGAACAGTTGGCTGATTTTCTTACAAAAGCCTTTGATCACAAGCAAGTTTCAGAATTTCATTTCCAAGCTTGACATGATAGATATATACCATACTTAAGCTTGAGGGAGGATGTTAAAACACTTGCTTAAGCTTCATTATTATTGCATCTTTCCTTTTATAATTAGGATTTAAAAGTTGATTAATCTACATACTATTTTAGAAAAGTTAATTATAGGTGGTTAGTAGAGTTGTCATTCAGTTGTAAATTGCTTTGCTACCTATATATGTATTACCTCATGCAATGTAATGTTCAAGCAACGATAATGAATATATTAATGCTTCACTCTCCTCTTCTCCCTTCTTTTGCATCACTCAAGCTCTATCAATATCAATAGAGTCTTTCATGTGTATCCACAAATTTTTTACTCAATCATGAGATGTGTTTAGTTTCTCAACAACAATAATAATAATAATAATAATAATAATAATAATAATAATAATAATAATAATAATAATAATAATAATAATAATAATAATAATAATAATAATAATAATAGTAGTAGTAGTAGTAGTAATAATAGTAGTAGTAGTAGTAGTAATAATAATAATAATAATAGCAATAATAATAATAATAGCAATAATAATAGCAACAATAACAACAATAACAACAATAACAACAATAACAACAATAACAACAATAACAACAATAATAATAACAATAATAACAACAATAACAACAATAACAACAATAACAACAATAACAACAATAATAAGAACAACAATAATAAGAATAACAATAATAATAACAATAATAACAACAATAATAATAATAACAATAATAATAATACAACAATAATAACAATAATAATAATAATAATAATAATAATAATAATAATAATAGTAATAATAATAATAATAATAATAATAATAATAATAATAATAATAATAATAATAATAATAATAATAATAATAATAATAATAATAATAATAATAATAATAGTAATAATAATAGTAATAATAATAATAATAGTAATAATAATAATAATAATAATAATAGTAATAATAATAGTAATAATAATAATAATAATAATAATAATAATAATAATAATAATAATAATAATAATAATAATAATAATAATAATAATAATAATAATAATAATAATAATAATAATAATAATAATAATAATAATAATAATAATAATAATAATAATAATAATAATAATAATAATAATAATAATAATAATAATAATAATAATAATAATAATAATAATAATAATAATAATAATAATAATAATAATAATAATAATAATAATAATAATAATAATAATAATAATAATAATAATAATAATAATAATAATAATAATAATAATAATAATAATAATAATAATAATAATAATAATAATAATAATAATAATAATAATAATAATAATAATAATAATAATAATAATAATAATAATAATAATAATAATAATAATAATAATAATAATAATAATAATAATAATAATAATAATAATAATAATAATAATAATAATAATAATAATAATAATAATAATAATAATAATAATAATAATAATAATAATAATAATAATAATAATAATAATAATAATAATAATAATAATAATAATAATAATAATAATAATAATAATAATAATAATAATAATAATAATAATAATAATAATAATAATAATAATAATAATAATAATAATAATAATAATAATAATAATAATAATAATAATAATAATAATAATAATAATAATAATAATAATAATAATAATAATAATAATAATAATAATAATAATAATAATAATAATAATAATAATAATAATAATAATAATAATAATAATAATAATAATAATAATAATAATAATAATAATAATAACAATAATAATAATAATAATAATAATAATAAATGGATAGCTAAAGTGTGGAAAGACGCATTACAATAGTTAATAACTAGTATTATGCCAATCATTCACAGCTCATAATCCAGCAACACACCAAAAATCTCGTCATTAAAGTTTAACGTAACATTTAATTGAAAGTAGCGGTTAACACCTTTTAAATGAGTACTATAATTTACATAAATCTTGTTAGTAGGCATGTCAACATAACTCATACTCACGGGTACCCATCTGAACTCGCCTCAAAATTGACGTAGAAAATTTGTTTTGACTGAGTTTGAATTTAGGTTTGGGTTTTCTCCGAATAAAAAATATGGGGACGGGTCAGATATTAGGGACACTAATACCCACTCCAAACCCGTCCCGTTTATATTATCAAGGACATTATTATTTTGTTTTGATAATTTAAAATATTAAATGTGTGATGAATATTGTGGTATTTTAATTTGTTTTAATTATCTAAAATATTTGAAATATATGGATGAAATTTTTTGAAATTGTTTTATTTTATTATCTGTAATGTAATTTAATTTTAAAAAAATAAATATTTTTATTAAAAAATTGATTTTATTAATTGGATGATGGTCGGGCGGAGATACTTGAACCTAATCTGAATCCGTTTGTGACGGGTTTGCGTTTCAATTATCCATCCCTGTTTAGGTTTTGGAAGAGAACGAAAACTATTTTGAAGTTTGAATTTGGATTTAGGGAGATAAAAACCGCCTCCGACCCACTTCGTTAATATATCTACTTGTTAGTATTAAGTCACTCGTTAGTATGATCCCCCGTCTTTAATTAATTTAGTGTTCAAATTATTAAAATTAATTAAAATGTTTAAATTATTCTTTACTACTTTATGTTTATATATTAAAATTTTAAGAGACAACAATTTAATTAATTTTAATAATGTAAGAAATCAATTGAAAAAATAATACAGTAATAGTTTAACAATTAAATTCTTCAATTAAATATTAATTTTTTTTATGAATACGTTGCTGAATTTAATTTCAAAATTGTGTCAGAATATGACTTTTATGTCCGACACGGACAATGGAGACAAGTGCGTAATTGAGTTAAAGAGCGAGGGTGTTTATGTAATTGAAGTGATCCCCTGGCTCCCCTTAACTGTCTCTGTTTATGCATATATAGACGCGTACATATATACGATTTCATAGCTCCCCCATTTTCTTCTTCTCTTATACACCAACAACAACACTCACACCAAATCTTCCTCATTCTTTTCTCAAATCTCTCTCCCTCTTACTTCTCCTTCTTCTCTCTGGATTTGTTTCATTTTGTAAGTTTTTCTCACTCCGATCCTGCTTTTCCCCATTTCTGTGTTTTTTTGTGATCTGGATATTGCTTCTATTTTACGGATCTAAGCCTTATTTTTCCCTGTTCATGATTGTGTTGCTTGATTTTGATTTCAGTATTTCACCATGTCAGCACTTCATAGCTGGTTGTAGTTAGAAAATAGATCTGTGTTGATTTATTTATTTCTAAATTCCTACTTATGCTTGAATAACTAGTTACATTTTGATGATGTTGTTAATTTCCTTCATTTTTTTTCTTCTTTTTGGGTTCAGTTTTGTGCGTTTCGTGTTCAATTGGGTTATCTTTTGTTATTATGCATAGATTTTGAAGTGTGCACTTCTTTCTAACAACTCATCGATGTGGCTATAGTATGTTTTTTTTTTCCAGAGATTTCAAATACTTTTATTTCTGATTTTGATTAATATATTTTGATTTTTTTTATTGTGCACAGTTAGCCTGAGATGACATCCTATACACCAAAGAATATCCTCATTACTGGGGCTGCTGGGTTTATTGCATCTCATGTTGCGAACCGGCTTGTGCGAAGCCATCCCGAGTACAAAATTGTTGTGCTTGACAAACTAGATTATTGTTCGAATCTAAAGAATCTCCTTCCTTCTAAATCATCTCCCAATTTCAAGTTTGTGAAGGGGGATATTGGTAGTGCTGATCTTGTCAACTACTTGCTTATCACCGAGTCAATTGACACGATAATGCACTTTGCTGCTCAAACCCATGTTGATAACTCTTTTGGTAATAGCTTTGAGTTCACCAAGAACAATATTTATGGGACTCATGTTCTATTAGAAGCCTGCAAGGTTACTGGCCAGATCAGAAGGTTTATTCATGTTAGTACGGATGAGGTCTATGGTGAGACCGACGAAGATGCGATTGTTGGAAACCATGAAGCTTCTCAACTTCTACCGACGAACCCGTACTCTGCAACAAAAGCTGGAGCTGAAATGCTTGTCATGGCGTATGGCAGGTCGTACGGGTTGCCTGTTATCACGACACGTGGGAACAATGTTTATGGGCCGAATCAGTTTCCTGAGAAGTTGATTCCGAAGTTCATCCTCTTGGCTATGCAAGGGAAGACTCTTCCAATTCATGGAGATGGATCTAATGTGAGGAGTTATTTGTATTGTGAAGATGTTGCTGAGGCATTTGAAGTTGTACTTCACAAGGGAGAGGTTGGGCATGTTTACAATATAGGGACTAAGAAGGAAAGGGGAGTTATCGATGTAGCCAAGGATATATGTAGGCTTTTCTCAATGAATCCAGAAACTAGTATTAAATTCGTAGAGAACAGACCGTTTAACGACCAGAGATACTTTCTTGATGATCAAAAGCTGAAGAACATCGGTTGGTCCGAGAAAACCACATGGGATGAGGGCTTGAAGAAAACCATAGAATGGTATACCAAAAATCCTGATTGGTGGGGTGATGTTAGTGGAGCATTGCTTCCTCATCCAAGGATGTTGATGATGCCGGGTGGAATGGAGAGACATTTTGAAGGATCTGAAGGGGAAAATCCTGCATCCTTCAATTCATCTAATACCCGTATGGTGGTCCCATCATCCAAGAACAATGGCGTTCAGCAAAAACCACCTTTGAAGTTCTTGCTCTTTGGTAGAACTGGGTGGATCGGTGGTTTGCTGGGAAAATTGTGCGAGAAGCAAGGAATTCCATATGAATATGCAAAGGGTCGTCTAGAGGATCGTGCATCACTCATTGCTGATATTCAGAGTGTGAAACCAACCCATGTTTTTAATGCTGCAGGTGTCACCGGAAGACCCAATGTTGATTGGTGCGAAAGTCATAAAACAGAAACCATCCGCGCCAATGTCGCCGGTACTTTAACATTGGCTGATGTATGCAGAGAGCATGGGATCTTGATGATAAATTATGCTACTGGCTGCATATTTGAGTATGATGCAGCACATCCAGAAGGCTCCGGCATCGGTTTTAAGGAGGAAGACAAGCCCAATTTCATGGGATCTTTCTATTCCAAAACCAAAGCTATGGCAAGTGTCCTTGAAAAACATAACTTTATTTATTATTCCCTTTGCATTATGAATTTTGTCAAACAATAACTTTCAAGTAAACTTTGATCAGGTTGAGGAACTCTTGAGAGAATACGACAATGTATGCACCCTAAGGGTTCGCATGCCAATTTCGTCTGATCTGAGCAACCCGCGCAACTTCATCACAAAGATTTCTCGTTATAACAAAGTTGTCAACATTCCAAACAGCATGACTGTATTGGATGAACTTCTCCCTATTTCAATTGAGATGGCAAAAAGAAACCTGAGTGGAATCTGGAACTTCACAAACCCTGGTGCTATAAGCCACAATGAGATCCTTGAGATGTATAGGGATCACATTGACCCCAGTTTCAAGTGGGCAAATTTCACACTCGAAGAACAAGCCAAGGTGATCGTTGCTGCTCGTAGCAACAATGAAATGGATGGCACCAAATTAAAGAGTGAATTCCCAGAATTACTCTCAATCAAAGAATCACTTATCAAGTATGTCTTTGTGCCAAACAAGAAATAAGCAGTTTTATATTTTAGACGCGGCAGTAAAGTCTTCGAGCTACATAGATGACACATGATTCCACTGTTAGTTCCACTCAGTAACTGTGTGTAGAGTGTGGCTAGTATTACAATTGCATTATTATTAGATCATTTTCATAAGTATTATTTCAATTTCTTAGTGTTCTCTGGTACTTGCAGCCTAAAATAGATGTATTGTTGTGAAAGCTTGTGATGAGCAGCTTGTTTTTTCATCTTTGTATTCTTTTATTGCTTATCTAGAATGAAGATTTGAAATAAGAGAAGTTTTATAGTTTGTGACATTACTGTTGAGATGTACTTGGGTATTCATCCGTAATACATAGTGAAAATCTTGTAATAAGATAAGTTATTTAGCATTTTCTTAAACCAAAAGAAATGTTTATGTTAATTTCATATCTGAATATTAAACTTTATAGTATAAGTTTTTAAAAGCATGCGTATTTCATTATGTCGGTGCGTTTCAAAATATACACACGTTTATCCACTTGCCTCCTTCCATTTATTCGTTTTTCAAATTATTATTATTATTATTATTATTATTATTATTATTATTATTATTATTATTATTATTATTATTATTATTATTATTTTGCAAAGGTGTGCTTAAGAACACTTCAAAGATTTAAAAAAAGTTATTTTCTTGAATAAATAATTCTTAAGTGGTACGATGAGAATGTTTTTGGCCACCTCAAATCTGTGTTACTTTTTTTTATAAGATATAGTTCTTTTTTAATGTGAAAATTCTCATTTTATCTCGTAAGAAACAATATATAAATTACCATTTGTCTTGACTTTCGAACAATATGAACTATTTTAGTCATTTCAAATGTTCAATATATAAATTGTTAGCATTTCTCTTATTATCATTACTACATCTAAAACACTAAGATCGTCTTTAAAAATGTGTACGAAGAGCTGTCACTCAAAACCTACATTTTGATGTGTTTAAATTATACTTAAAATAATTTCATAGATTATTTATCATATTTAAGTTTATAACAAAATAGAATCACTATTTATTCTGTCATACTTAAATAATAATTAATCTATGTCTCCACTATAACTTACCTACCCAAATTTTTAGATTTCATAGAAAAAATAATAATTAATCTATGTCTCCACTACAACTTACCTACCCAAATTTTTAGATTTCATAGAAAAGTCTAAGTCTATTTAGGAGTTTGTTTAAGGTTGCTAAATAAGTTTTTAAACTCAACTCTATGCATGTTAATACCTAATTTTTAAATAATTTGAGATCTAATATATTATTAATTTTTAAACTCAATTTTTTTAGATGATATGAAAGTCTATTTAAGAGATTGGTTAAGGTTGCTAAATGAGTTTTTAAGCTCAACTATATGCTTGCTAGTAGACCTGAAATTTTAAATGATTTGAGATACTATACTATATTTTTACACTGTATAAAAATAGTTTATTATTGTTGGATTTCAAGTGTAATTTTTTTTAAATAATTAATTTTTCAAATTAGATATGAAAATAATCAACATTTTAAATTTATTACTAAAATGACAATATTTCAAAACGAAGAAAAGAGGAATAACCATTATGTTAGGGGCGCATGTACTATAATTTAACACTTAAGCGTCATTTTTATTGATTCATGCTTGTATGTGTCGCCACTTGCAGTGGTGCATACATGCACCTATTAGGTGCATGCACCACCTACCTGCAGTGGCTACCTTTTATTTATTTATTTTTTTTAAAATTTTAATTTAAAATTTGAAATAAAAAAGAAAATTAAAACTAATTTATACTATTATTTCATAAAATTTAAGCTGACAATAATTGAATAGAAAATCAATGACCTGTCCGATCAAAATGTCTCTTGGTTCCACATTCCGACGCATTAGCCTGCCTTCGAGGTTTCTTACGATTTTTCTGAGATGTTTGGGGTCTTTGAGTATTGGCCTGAGGAAATGTGGTTGGTGCGAGGGTCCTGACATATTTGACATATTTTTAATCATTTGTCCCCAATAGCCGGGGGTTGCTGTCATAGTGGTTGGGTTATGTGAGGACGGTATGGTTGACCGAATCAGTATATTGAATCGTTTTAGAAACGAAACAATGGTTCTTGTGGAGTAAGAAAGTCAAAGAATGGTCGGGTGCTTTGGCGGTGGGATGTTTGTGTGAGGGCAATCCTCATAGTTAGCTATACTTGTTTTAATGATGTCAAAACTTAGATAGGTAGAAAAATGTACTTTGGACGGTATCATTGTGTCACATATGCATACCTTATTCCTCTTGAGTCAAACATCGATCAAAAACATTGTTTGATACATATAGAAATTGTTCAATATATGCTTCATATAGGTTTGGTCAGGTTTGTCTAGCTTACTATTTGGTGGAGTATCTCAAAAGTAGCATTATACATGAAAATATGCATTTTTGCATATTTTGTGTCTTTAAGTCGACTGAAACTTGTTCCGGTCGACTCATACAGAAAGTATTTTGCATGGTCTACTCTCAGGAGTGCCCGCGCAGACCCTCCGGTCGACTCATACTATATCCATTTCTATCTGTGTAGTTTTGTATGTTTTGCGTCGATGCATGACCTGTTCCAGTCGACGCAAGGTGCTTTTTTCTGCATAATCTGAAATTTGAATGAGCTCAGGTCGACCCTGCCTCTTGTATAGGTCGACCGCTCGCGCATTTTTTGTTAAATTTCTGTTATGTAAAACTGTCTTGGTGGTTGTTATGTTGGTTAATTGTTTTTGAGTTGCATATATAGTGAGTTAGCTTATTCTTCAAAAAAAAAAGAAGTGAAAATAGACACTGATTTTGTTCTCATCATCTTCATCCCACTTCTTGCATTTTCTCAACAACTACACATAATCATTTTTGTTGTACATTCTGCAATTTAGAGGTGATAACGTCCAAACATAGGATTAGTGTAATCGGGTTTGGGTTGAGAAATCAGTGGGTTTTTCTTGAATAAAACCGTTAGGATTTTATCCTCTAAGAATCTTGGATTTTGGGTTTTTTTTTGCACGAATCAGTCCATCATAGATTCAACTGAGCGAAGGTAATCGAAGAACGGGTGGTTCTGTCGGTTTAGTAACAGTAACTGGAGGATTGTGAGACAAAGATTCGGGTTCGAAGTTGTTGCACCCTAAAATTTGCCCAACCTTTTCTTAACTTGGTTTACATTTCATTTCATTTTGTTCTAGCATTTGCATTGCATATCATGTTGCATTGAACAGGGGATCAAGAGATTGTGCATAGTAAGAGGAGTTTACTCAGAGGGTTGAGCCTAAGCAAGGGGTGTTACTCAAGTTTGGATGGTCATCAAGTCATCTAGAAGTGGGCATTGGTCTTGTGAAAGAAAGGATGGGTATGTGGGTCAGCTCCTAAGCCAGTTCAAGATCATCAGAGGTTTGTGGGTGCATGGTGTTGGGGATCCAACGTCCCCTATGCGAGTCTCGCCTTGGATTTTCCTCCTAGCTGTCTGGGTCATCCCCAGCAACTGGCGATTCTGTTGGGGATCCAACGTCTCCTAGGCGAGTCAATCCTAGCGCTTGCGTGTTTATGTGTTGGGTTTGCGTTTATTTATCGCACTTTACTTTCCGCATTTTATTTTCAGCAATATGATTATTTGTGTTGTTGTGGGAGGGAGCTCTGATGAGTGATAAGCCAGACCCAGGCTTGAGTGTATACCTAGCATTAGTTGTGGAAAGTAGTGGGCGCGTGCATGCTTTGCATGTACTAGTGTCCCACAAAATCCACGCTCAGATGAGATTCTCCCGGTTGACTTCTTTTCCAGCCCTTTGGGCTTGAGGGGTTGTTGGTTTGGAGGGTTGTCGACTCTGGGGACCGATCATTTGTGACTCAGCCGAGTGAGGCCTCTTCAGGGAGTGATGATGCCAAACCAGAAATGGTGAACGTATCATCATTTTGTGAAAGTCTGTGACGCTGGGAAACGCATAGGACGCCGAACCTTTGTCAGTTTAGGTCCATACCTGTGAGTGGGAGGGTTTTTGTAGGAAACTTGACTTCCAGCTAACCCGGTATTTTGGTTTTCTCTCTTTAGAGCGAACTTATCCCGTCAGCAGCGCAACAGTATTCAGAGCTTTGTGGGGGTTGTGATCCCGTGTCTGTTGCATCTTGCATTTCATTTCATGTGCATCTCATGTTTGCATATCCATCCTCAGCCGGAACAAAAAGCTTACCCGTCTTTTGTCCAACTCGCAGTTGATTTCCTGGCATTCGCATTGGACTTGAGTTAGTTCCTGGAAGGATCATGAACTCAGCAGAGCAGAATCAGGTTGTTACGAGGGCCGAGTTTGAATTGTTGAAGGATCAATTGAGTCAATTCATGGAAGCTGTGACATCTATGACTAGAGATGAGGCCAATGATCAGAGGATCCCGATGAACAATGTTGCTCAAGCTCAGCCTGTGCAGATTCCTGTCAGAGATAAAGATGCATCTTCTCTCCACGACACGGACTATCAGAATTTCATTTTCTCCGTGCCAGATCCTCAGAGGATTGTTCCAAAGGTTAATGCTGAGAACCCACACACTGTTGAGTTTATGAGAAGATATCGTCTGTTGGATGAAAAGCTTGATGTTCTGATGAGTCAGAATACTCTTAACCTGAATGCTTCGAGCATGTGTTTGGTGCCAGGCCTTGTGATGTCTCCGAAGTTCAAGATTCCGAATTTTGAGAAGTTCAAAGGGGATAGTTGCCCGAAGCTACATTTGATGATATTCTGCAGAAAAATGACTTCGTATGTCCACAATGATCAGCTTATAATTCACTGCTTTCAGGACAGTTTGAGTGGAGCATCGTTGAATTGGTATATGCAGTTGGAAAGCAGTTGCATCAGATCATGGTCAGATTTAGCCAATGCCTTCGTGAAGCAGTACGACTACAACCTCGACATGGCTCCTAGCCGCATGCAGTTGCAAGAATTATCTCAGGTGGATAATGAATCCTTCATAGGGTATGCGCGAAGATGGAG